GCCTGCCCGTCCGTACTCAGGAGGGTGACCTGGCACTGAAACCGCAGATGAGAGGGAAAGCCTAGAGACACAGATCTAAAGTTGGAGTGGGGCTTATATCTTCAAACTGAAGAAAAGGAAGTTATTTTTGTTCATGCTATGGATTCTTCTTAAATGTCTGTCAGAACCTCTCTAGAAAAGATAGGTTAAATAAATAAATTTGTACATACCAGTACATATTTGTTTGCTGCGGAGTCCTGGATGGCTTATGAGAAACTGAAGACCATATCAACTAGAGATTTAGCAGTAGTTGTAAAACAGCATAAATCATTTTTATTAGTGTCAGCTACGTTTTATGCTTGGTATTTTTTCCTTGAGCTGTGGAGATTAATACAGTACTTACTAGCATAGTTAGCATGGTGATACTTGTATAATCAAAATTGTCAGATAAAATAAAAATGTCAAAAATGTATTCGTCAGATACATTTACCAAGGATATTATCACTGACTGTAATGAAACTGTTCCTATTTCTAAGTGGTGAATTATGTTAAAGGGATAGATGATACACATCCTGGAGTCTATGTTAGCATGTCCTTTCTTCCTCCTCTGCTTCCAACCTCTCTCGGGAGGACAGATCACCAGTTTTTCTGCCCTGTGAGTGACTCTACATGCCCTGTCCTGCAGAGCAAAGGGAAAAAAACCAACGGTCTGAAAAGGTTCCCCTCTTACAACATGCTCATAAGTACATGCCATATTGCATGGTAGAGATTCGCAAGGAAGAGAGGAGGTTGCTGGTTGGTTGGTTGGTTGAGGTGTTATTGTGATCTGTGTGTAGGATGTGAGGGTGTATCTCTTAACAACCAAAATCTACAATAGTGGGTTCTAAAATAATTCCTTGAAGTACCTGAGGTTGTCAACGAGTGTTTCTGTGGAGCTAGATTTAGCTTTAGACACTCCCAGTGGGCTGACCCTTGCAACTTCAGAAATAGCAGGGTAGTCCGCTTGCCTGCTCCTAATGTCCAACGTGAAAAGATGCAATGCCCTGCTGGGGCTGGTGTGGCCAGTGGTAAGAAGAGGTAACAGCAAAGCCTAAGGAAAGTTTAGAACAATGCAAAAACCCACAATTTTCATTTTGAGATGAAAAAGGATACCTTTTAAGACTTATTTCTATTTTTTCTGCCTGTAATTGTTTTCACAATACGTATATCCTGTTCATATATTTATCTATATGAATAAAGCATCTTACTATGTATATTACTCTAATAGTAAGCCTTTCTATTCCTGCATCAATACATGTGAGCTCTTTTAAAGTAGACACCGTCTCAGGCTCTAGGGATGTGTTATTTGAGTTGCCTTTCTACACCAAAGAAAATTAAAATTGAATGATGTCTGATACTTGCCACTTTTCCGCATGTTAGTTTGGAGCCCTTCCGATTGTAGTTTGTTTGCCTGAATTTTGGCACAGAGAATCCTAGAGAACAGTGACTTTTTGGAGGACGGATATTGTTATATAAGTTGTTGGAAAAGTCAGGGGGGAAGCTCTTATGACTGAGGGGGAAGAGAGGTCTAGAAACTCAGCAACGCAAAAATGGAAGAAGCCAAGGTAGTGTGAAAGAGTGAAAAACAACCATGAAACCAGCAATTTATTGGACAGATCTGAACAGATGGTGAAGTGGTCGTAGAAAAGAAAACTGGAAGGCAGCGTAAAGTGCAGAAGAGACTAAAAAAGTTCCTTTTATCTTGACTATTTTAAGGTCACAGTTCAGGAATTACTGTTGTTTAAAAGAAATTTGCATACTTTTTAGACAGTAATTTCTTTTTGAAAAGTCATCAGATGTATCTTCAGTGCATAGAAATAATGGTTATAAGCAAACCATTAATGAATAGCAAGAGATCAAAATATCCTAGGATGTCAGTCTGAAGGCCCCTTTCACGGAGCCTTACTTGCTGATAGACTTCTTCCATGAATCTATCCAGTCACATTTTGAATGTCTCTAAGTTTCTAATACCTACAGTGAATTTCGCTGTTAGATATTGGGTAGAAAACTAACTTTTTTTAAAGTAAACAAATAAATACATAAAATATACCATGCAGTTTTTTAATTCTTACCTGCTCTTGTGCTGAGACAAAAGTGGCTCCTTCTACACTAGAAACAGCTTAAGGGATAATTTTCTATTAGGGTCTGGTTTATTGTCAGTCATACCTTTGGCCCTACCTACCACCCTTTTCTGCAACTTTCTTGTTTCTATTGTATGGTTTTTTGGATATAGGAGACTGGAAAAACAGAAAACTATCAAACTACAGATACCAGAGATTTATACAGTAGAATAATGAAACTTTGTGCTACAGCCTCTTTTTCCTTTGAATCCTCATTTCCACTTTCATTGTTAATTGACCCTAGGCATTCCTTGGCACCCTTTCTCTTTCTGACGTGTTCGAAGAAAGGATTTATTGTTAGGTTTTATGCCTGTAAAAAGTCATCTCATCATTTTTTTGGCCTTTCATACTGCATTTTATAGTTAAAATGTTGGCAATTGATTTTTTTTTTTTCCTGCCATCTTTATTTTGAATTTATTTCAATTTTTGGAAGGATCTCTTCCTCTTTCTGATAATATTCATTGCCCTGCTCTGTAACTGCGGTGGTTTTTGTCGTTACAAATCCCATTTTAGAAGTGAGGTGCGTGGTCTCCATGTCTGTCCGGCACTGTTTGCTCTTCAGGGTGGCGGTGGGAGCATTTTGTTGCCTCCCGGGACGGGGGTCTGCCTGCGTGGCTCCGGCGCACACGCCAGCTGCCCCGTGGGCAGGAAGTGTGTGCAATCAAATGGGACGCCCGTACAACCTCGCTGGATGCCAGACTGCAGGGGGGCTGGGAGGCTTCGGGGGGATGTTTGTTTATAACAGAAAATCTTGGATGCTTTTATTTCCATGCCGAGTTTATCCGTATGGATTATCTTCTGTGATTTGCCCTAAGGAGCTGGTTTTAAATTTGTGGTATTTTTATATTTGAAAACAAATTGTAAAGAAATACATTCTCTCAGCCTTCTTTTTTTGTGAGTTACAACTATATATCTAAGTCGGGGCTAGTAGTATAACCTAATAAAAATTCTTGCATAATTCTTTGTCTTATCAGATATGTTTCTTTTGATTATAATTTTACCAGACTTTCTGTGCTGGAAATACTCCATACCAGGTGTCTGCATTAAGCTGAAGGCACGTGCATGTTTAAGTCAAAGCAGTTTGTTTGCCTTTGAGAACAATAACAACGGGGCAGAAAATGCCAGAATGTTGAAAGTATTTTGGAGCAACCATTTCAAAATTTAGATGAGAATAACAAGAACCTCTTTGCTCCAAGGAAATAACTGTTGCTATTCCCCCATGACAGTCTTGGCAAATGTGGCCGGTTGTAAGCCTTGGGGAAGACGCAATTTATACAAGATCCATAGAGAATTTCTTATCTTTAGCAGTCAGATTCTGAAGTCTCTGTCCTAACTACTGAGAGAAGTGGGGTCAGGAGGGGGATTTTCTACGTTGTTAAGCTATGGAGTTGGGGCATTTCTGATGATTAGAGATTCTGAATAGGTCAGTAGAAACTTTGAATGTGAAACCACATTACATGATGCTTTTATGTGCTACTGATTTATCTTGGAAGTTCCAGAACAGAAATCAATTAATTAATTGAGACACAGGAAAAGAACTGGATTTCATTTTGGTCTCCGTTAAATAGTGCGTTCAGTGTTGCAGACTGCATCCAGGAGAGCTGAAAGCCAAGTAGGAGACTCTATTATTGACAATACGCTAATAAAATTGTTGCTCCAACTTTTTGGAGTTTATAGTTAACATCTCTGTGTGATGTTTCATTTATTTGGCGAATGAGTTTTATAGTTTAATTACGCAGCAATGATTTATATGCAAGAGAGTTGGCAAGAGAAAAATCTCCTCCTGCCCAGCATTTTCAAAAAAATATTTTCCCTGGCTCAAGAGACTGAGTAACTTCTTACCCATTAAATATATTTTTTTTCCTTTCTTCTGCATGGTTTCTCTACTTCATATTTTAAGGAGCTCCTAAAGTGCGCAGGCCTGCAGATATTTCCAAACAAGTGTCATGCTGTCGCATGAAGTTTCACTGAATTTTTGCGTGTAATAGAAATTGTAGGATCAGGCCTTGTATTTTAGGATCAGCCCTGCAACGTACCTGCAGACGTTATTTAACATTTTGAAACATTAGCAAAAGTTTGACTTACATTAAAACATAAAATAAACTTCTTTTCACAGGAAGCTTAATTAGAATTAATGTGAAATTATTTACAGTTTTATGAAAAAAATGCTTTGAAGGTTTCACTTGCTTGATCTACAACTGCAGGAAAACAAACGCAGTGTTTCCTCTGTTGCATTTTTGTTGCTGTGCAGTCACTTTCCATTCTCTAACCCATGACTTACCAAAACTTTCCTAGCTCGAAAAACAAAGAAGAAGATAAAAGGAATTCAGCAGGCTAATGCAACAGGAACGCGGGATGCATCTGAAACACCTGGAAACAAGAGCATCGTTCCCGCGTCCCTGCCGCAGCTGACCCCGACCCTGGTGTCCCTGCTGGAGGTGATCGAGCCCGAGGTGCTGTACTCAGGCTACGACAGCACCCTGCCTGACTCCAGCTGGAGGATCCTCTCCACGCTCAACATGCTGGGAGGACGGCAAGTAGTAGCTGCGGTAAAGTGGGCAAAGGCAATACCAGGTAACGTGCAAAGACAGTAATTGCAAAGTGTAGGCTTTTTATTGTGCTTAAAATCTGTCTCCGTATTTGGTATCCTTTGAAGACTTCATGGGTGATGTTTTAGTAATATCTGGGCTTATTCGTGTCTCACATACTTCTGGAGTGGAGAAGCAGGAAAAAATACAGATGCAAAAATTTATTTACTACAGTTACAAATTAGGTCATTTTACTTGAACCCTTTGACCATTGAGTGTTAAAAGTTATGTTAACATGGAGATTTGTTTTTAAAAGTCATGTAGAGAATTATTTTTATTACCTCTAGCTCCACCTCTTAGATAATTATTTCTTGAATATTTTTAGCAATGAGGTTCTCATCACTTGTATAGACTGGTACTGCTGTACTGGCTTGTCTGGATCTGCAGTCATGGATGGTTCTTTTTTTGCTATTCCTCACCATATCTGTAGTTTTTTCTTGACTGAGAATAGGCATTTGAGTGTCCAGTTCTAGGGTGGAAGTTGGGATGTTCGTTTTCTCTCAAGCACTGTAACTACACCATTAAACTGACCATCACTGGGGGAATGCGGAAGGTTTCTTGCTATTTTGGCTCCCACCTGAAGACACAGTTAGCAGTTGCCTTGCAGAAGAAGTGGTGTCAAATCTCAGCATTGGACATAACGCATAGCATCCCCTAGTATATCTTTGGGAGAGGCCAAGGCCAAAAGTAAAGCTGAAGATCTGCTTATTCCTGACAGGACAAGGACTAGTGATTTTCTCCCTTTTGCTTCTACTCAGTACCGTTAGCTACCTGTTTTCGAAAACCCTAGCAAACACACCTCCATAATGCATATATTGCCCAAGAATAACATCACATCACAGATCTGCCAAAAAAAAAAAACCTCTGATAATGAAATTTATGAGTTGTAAAGATGTCTCTTTTGAGGCAGGGGAAATAAATCAACAGTAGGGAAGAAAGGCTAGTAAACTCAAATATGTGAAGAGAGATTTGTGTGTCTGTCCAGGCTTTTCTGCACTGGGGAGTTATGCTGAATTAGCTAAGGTCTACGTTAGGAGAAGTTCACATGTGCACACTTTCTTCTGGGACAAGTCTTTAGGAGACCATCTGGTATTCACAAATACAAATTTAGATACCATTTTTATAAAGCAGTTTTGTGTTCATAATCTCTTTTGAACCGTTTCCCTGATTAGACAAATGCTTCAGGTTACAAAATATACTCTTAATGAAAATGCCAATGTTCTCTTTAATAATTATATTAATAGGAGTTATTCTTATTGGTTTTTATCTTCTTTTTTTTTGCTTAGTAAGGTGGTTCTTCATGAGTATTTAATTTGTATGTACTGCTACTGGTTGTACACCATCAGACATACTGACAGTAAGCCAGCATTGTTTGCCAAACCCTGTAGTTGAGATTTCAAAATAACCTTTTCCCGAGGAGGGTTTGAGCAAAGATTTCAAGATTTGACCCAGTAAGTTTGAAATAACTTCAAAACAATTTGGTTGTGTTTTAGAAGTAGTAAATGGTAGTTACTGCCATCTCGGAAGCCAGAAGCTTTTTTTGAAGTTATTAGACATACCAAGTTTTGGTGTGTATTAATCTACTGAATGCTGTCTATTTGCACATCTTCAGGAAGCAGCATTATTATGAGCTCTTTTAGGTGTTAGATGCTAATAAAATTAAATAAATTGAATTCAGACTTTAATAATGACTTAATATGGCACAATGTTTTGTTGCTAAATGTAGGCAGGGTTTAATAGGAACTAGTGCTGCAAATTAAAAGCTGCCTACATTTTAAGACTGTTTAAGGGACCAATTTTCAGATTGTACACATTTCGTCTTTGTTTAATTGGCTTTCTTCATGCTACATATTCTTGTAAGATTAGAAACAATTGATGATGGTAACTAATGCAATACGTATTTTCTAAGTTCAGTGTACAATTGTTGTTGAGTAAGAACAAAGTTTGAAATTAAACAGTTTATTGTCTAGTGGACTGCTATCACAAAAACTAAAAAAATACTGTTATTTTTGGAAGATAGCTTGATGAATTACAGTGTACATTAAATATAATTGTTGTCTTTTGTAACCTATCTGACTAACCATCAGTTCCAGATAAGCACACGCATATATTCTGATTTTTTTTTTTTAATATTACATCCCTTTTTACTGCCTCTAGTACCTATCAAGACTTATCCATCTGGTACTCTGTCCGTCCAGAATGTAACTAACATCGTGGTTGTCAGAGCCCAGGGCTTTTGGTGTGCATGCACTTTCATAGTTGGGATGCTGAGAATTTAGTTTGAAATGTGTATATATATAGTATGAATATAGTGTATAATGCAAAGTTCAAGAGTCACTCTTTCTGTTGCTCTCTTTTGCCTGGTTTTCTGTGTTGCATATGTTTTGTATGGTTGACGGTTACACATTCAAACCAGCTCAAGATTGAGTTATACTGGAGCTTTCTGTTCAAACATTTCAAGTCTCTTATGTAGTCATATTGTCCAGAAGATGCAACTGGAGTCCTATGGTTACGAACGCTTAATTTCTACATATGCAAAATTTTGAATAGGCAAAGGATTCCTCAATGGTATACCGAGTATTTAAATGTAACTTTAGTAGCTGGAAAATGGTGTTGAAATTTTGCACCCCTTTTATAGTGCATTTTTTCATCCAGCAAGAACTTTCTCATACGAAACCTCTTACTGTTCGAATTTATTCTTTTCTTCCTCCAAAAATCTAAATTCTTGACTGACTCAGTTGATTGTAATATAGTAAGAAATTTTGTTGTTATTTCAGATACAGTCATCACAGTTACAGAAATTTTTATGAAATACACTTCTAAAAGTGATAATCTACACTGAGAATACAGAAGTTGTATTGATGATAACCACGATCCTTTTCCAAGTTATGGGAGGTTTTTTTCTTTTTTTTTTTTTTTCACAACCAGTGCTGTCACACCTCAATTTTTCTTTTTCCAGGTTTCCGAAATTTACATCTGGATGACCAAATGACCCTTCTGCAGTACTCATGGATGTTCCTAATGGCTTTTGCTTTAGGATGGAGATCATATAAACAATCAAATGGAAATCTCCTGTGCTTCGCACCAGATCTGATTATTAATGAGTAAGTAAGACGTGAGTCATTTTCCGGGTTTCTCAGGGTGATACGAGACTCCCCACAGTATTTCTGGGTTTTGCACTTGAGAGGTGAATCACTGGGTATCAGATACTTGCAGAGATCACAAATCAGTCTGTCATTTGCAACTTGTTTTTCTTTTAGCAAACTGCTTAGTTTTTAAATAAGTGAAATGAAATAAAAAGGTATTTTAGATGTTAAGTGTATTTGTATCAAGAAGTTTTTGTGGGAGGTGTTTGTACTAAAATGTTCCATATTATGACTGTTCCTGCGCCATTCATTATAGTCATTCATTTTATCAGAGCCAACACAGTTGGAGCTAAAAATATATCTAGGATGGAGAGAAAATTTTGGCAAATTGCATAATGTTCTCTATGTTTATTGTATAAAAGTGATAGTATGGTCCTACCAGTTTCACAGAGTTCTTGATCAGTTAAACATTTATATCTGAACCTGATTAAAGTCTGGTTAAAAAGACAAGGTTACAAATGGAAAAACTTGCCTGATTTATATTTTCTTGTTGAACTTTGTTGTCAATTTCCAAGAAAAGTTGAATTTGCTAGAATATTTGGGCATCTTTTTTCTTGCACTGTGTGTAACTTTTCCGTGTATTTTTCAACTTCATGTTGTGCAGTAATTCTGTGTAGTAGAGGAGTGAAAGAGGGAATTTGGGATTGTTGAGGTGATGGGCAGAAGGCTTAATTTGAGATGCAGTGGGGATAAACATTTTGCAGAGAACTACGCATAGTTATATTACTTTCTGTATGCCGTTTCAAAGGTGTAGTAGCCGGTCAGGTTAGGTTATGCCTTTCTACGTCCAGTCTGGAGAGCAAACACTCCATCTAAACCCTCTCCTGCCTTCAGGAATGGGTCCCAATGGACTGTCACACTCTCCTGCCTTTTACTTGGAAGCCAGCTTAGCAATTGTGTCCTTCAGCTCGTACTTTAAAACCCTGCTTCTTCAAGCAGGTGCAAGAGTGTCTGTGTAGTCTGTAACAGACCTTTCCAGTGATCTTTCCCTCTTGCAGTTCCTGTGATGCTAGCAGTGTTTATAAAGCCTGTCGAGGCAATTTGTCTGTATTTTGACTTAGTTGCTGAAAATATTCTGTGGATGTACATCTTTGAGATTGCTGGTCAGAGCCATTCAAAACCTAGTTTACCCATCTGCAGATTCCAGTTAAGGTGATGCTATCCCTGTGGAATTTTTTTTTTCATTATTTCTTTTTTCAGTTCTTTTGTGGCAACTAAAACTAATAAATATGATTACACAGGGCCTTTGACACCTACAGTCAAACAGCTTTTTTAGCATCACAGTTTCACTGACAATAATTTAAAAGGTGATGCAAGTGTCAAGGTTTTATTCATGTCTCTGTTTTTCTGTCTTTAAAATGGACGCAATACAAACCCCTTTGGCATGCTTTGAGACACTGGTCTTAATGTTTTTGTTCCCATTGCACTTCAGTATCAGATGTCCCAAATATGTTCTCTGTTTAAAAACAAATATAGTAATTTTTACATATTCTATGAGATCAACCATTTACATTTCAGACTGCATCTTTTTCATGTTTATTTATTCCCTTTATATTTTTTCAATGTAAATATTTGTCCAGGCTTTTATAAACTGTAATAATTTCTTTATAATAATAATTTTTTTTAAAAAAATGAGGAGCAGATTACAGGTGAGGGACCATCTGTGTGCTTACGTTTATTAAAGTTCTTAGAATATGTGTCTGGAGTAAAATAGTCTCTATGTGGTGGAATTGAAATAATTGATGTTGTCACTAATAAGCATTATAACATCTAGTTTGCTTTAAGTCGGAGGTCTCCTGCTGTTTTATCAATGGGTCAAAACCACAGAGCTTTACAGCTAAGTACGTGTTGATACTCTTTAAAAAAACAAACAAACAAAACACCGCAAAAAACTGCAAGAGTAATCCTATTATACTAAATATTAGTTCTCAAATTCATTCTAGGTACAGTTTTGGAACGTAAATTGTTTATCAAAATGAAATTTGTTTTCAATGAAATATGTAGACTGAGAGAACTGCAATTTCTTCTCCATTGTGCTACAGGTTCCCTGTAAAACTCTGTCTGGTTGTAACTTTTTATGTACCATTCATCTGTAAAATACAGCCACCTCTGAATTAAACGTGGCAAATACTGAATAATACCTAAAACCACTGCCTAAGTTACAAGAAGCTTATGAAGCACAGTACCGCGGGGAAAACCAGAGCAGCAGTGCCATCGAGGAAGCGTTGCCGATGCTAAAATGTTGGTGTCCTGGTTTCGACTGGGATAGAGTTAATTTTCTTCCTAGTAGCTGGTACAGTGCTGTGTTTTGGATTTAGGATGAGAATAACGTTGATAACACACTGACATTTTCAGTTGTTGCTGAGCAGTGTTTAAAGTCAAGGATTTTTCAGGTTCTCATGCCCTGCCAGCGAGAAGGCTGGAGGAGCAAAAGAAGCTGGGAGGGAGCACGGCCAGGCCAGCTGACCCCAGCTGGCCAAGGGATATCCCATACCATATGGTGTCATGCCCAGTATATAAACTGGGGGGAGTTGGCTGGGAGGGGCCAATCACTGCTCAGGGATAACTGCTCAGGCATCAGTCAGTGAGTGGGTGCTGAGCAGTTGCATTGTGCATCACTTGTCTTTTCTTGGGTTTTATTCTTTTCTTATACTTCTTTTCATTGCAATTATTATTATATTTTATTATTGTTAGTATTATATTTTAGTTTAGTTATTAAACTCTTCTTATCTCAGCCCATGAGTTTTACATTTTTTTCAGTTCTCCTCCCCATCCCACTGGGAGGGGTTGTTCACACTTGTCATTTTTGAGATCTGCAAATGACATTTCTACAGGTCCATTCTTTATATGAACATTTTTCATTTGTAACTAAGAATTTGTTCTGGCTTTGTATCTATTAATTGCAGTTTCAAAGCGTTATATCAGTGCAGGGCTAGAACAAAATTACATGTCTCTGCCCACACTGTGTTGGAATACAGTAATTCCAGGAGGCTTTCTGTCTCTTCAAGCCACAGCCTTTAGATTGATGATGTACCTATTTTTCTTAAATGGAAGTATAAACAAGTTGAGGAGTTGGCAAAAACTTCCAAGCCTCACATGAATCCCTCACGCAGATTTGTATCATTTCAGCCTTGCAAATAGTGGCATATATTCACGTGGATGAGTTTTCAATTCTGTTGCGTAATTTGAGTTTACACATCAAACAAAATGGTATGTATCACGTTACGCTGTGCGATAAACATCTCACTTGTATATAGAATTACACATACTCAAATCTCAATTAATGATTTTTTAAGTATATTTTGCGTACTTTTCACCCCAGAAATTCCTTTAATTTTACTTTACAGAACGGTCTTTACTTTTACTTTTACTTTACAGAAGGGTCTTAAGAAAAGTATAGGTGTTATTACATACAGTGTAAATCAAGAAATAGAACAGACAGACACCTTATAATCACGTTATTTCTTTATATTCCTTTGTATCTTCATTAGTAATAAACTAGAGTTGGTCTCAAACGGCTTCCTTCATGCCACCATGACCTGTGGCTTGCAGCAACACAACACAGGTGAAGTTTTCGGGACTGAATGCAGGAGAAGTTACTGAGTAGTGGTTGCAGAGAAGCCAGTAATAGTTTTTATCTGCTGCTGAGAGCTAAGGTTGCATCGCTAGTGTTAGTGGGGGCACGGGGAATAGTACAGCACACCCGAGCATACAGTGCCTTCGCTGTGTTAGTTGTATGGTTACAGATAAGTGCAAATACTTCTATTTTAATTTTCTTTGGGGTTTGTATGGGTTTCTAGAAACCATTTATTTTATTCCATTTCTGAGCTTTAAAGACTTGTCCTTATATTTGGTACAATTCAGGGTCTTCAGCTTCAGGAAGAGAAACCCTGTCTTTGAAGGATTCTGCAAGCCTAGGTGACTTAAATGGACATAACTGCAAAATACTTTTTTAGGATTGAATTATTTGTGGGGATAGTAAGACTTTCTTTAGTTTCATGTATCTGCTTAACATCAGTCTTTCATGCATTTATCCTTGCACCACCCCTGCCCAATATTATTCCTGTGTATTTATTACTTACTTACATGGAGTAGCAAGATCCAGTAGCTCATATCGACACCTTTCAGGCAACTGTGTGTAACTGGGCTGTACATAAAGAACACGTTTAACCCGTTAAGAGGTTTGTCGTCCTACATTTTCAGCTAACAGATCCTTAGCATTTATAAATATTTTGCCGTGAATGCACAAAAAGCTTCCCAGAAACTAGTGGATTTGTTTTACCTAATGCTCAGGTAGCTTTGGCTGTGGTAGTGCTGAATACCGTTATTCATTAGCACCATTGTAGATTCCTCCATAATTGAATTTTCCAAGTATCATCGATGCAGTCTGTGGTGGGAAAGAGAATTAAACTGTTCTTCTTAAGTCTTAAGTTGTCAGCCTAGTCATTTGACCAGTCTTCTCCTAAAAATTGAATATTTATTGAATATTCCATTTTTATATCTGCACTGCTATCATTTATTTAGGGGAAAAAAAAACATGAAACCAAAAAGAAAATAATCCAATATATTTGAATAATGTTTATCACATATTGGATACCATAAGTTAATACATCTGATAGGGCTAGGTAGGGTGGATTATAAAGTTGCTGTGATATAAAGATAAATTCTTTCCCATAGCATTTGTTGAGTGCAAAAAGGTTCACCATACGTATACATAGCATTGTTTTCACTTCATACGCTTATGGAAAAATGGCAAATATTCAGTGTTCCCTTAGGGTCAGCGATCTGTTGGATGGCAATTACTGCCGACCCCATTTCCACTTCAGTCAGCAGAAGAGCTGCCCGTGCCCTGCACAGGCAGACCATGGTCCTCGCCCGTGTAAACGTGGGATTTCCTTCCCCAGCTCATTCTCTGCCCAGGGAAAAACTACGGAGCAGCCACTGATGGGTTTTCATCCCCAGGCAGGTGGGGGGGTACAGGGGAGTCTTACTCGGCTTGTCGTCAAGGGAAGGGCACAAATGTATTTTAACTTACTTTAAGGCTTTGGAAAATATTTTAGATTTACATTTCTATACTTCCTTTCTGGGTAGGAATAATATAATTCAATGGATTAGTGTGTGACTATTCAGTAGGCTCATCGTTTTACGTTTCAAAACAAAAAATTTTTTTTTTTTAATGGAGGTATGTCTATACTGACTGGCAGTTTTATATGTAATACACACACACACGCAATGCTCAATTCAAGTTGTTGAAAACTTCGGCAGCTTAATAAATCTTAGGCTTTAGACCATAATTTACTATTTGGAGGTTGTATAAACCTCTGATTTTGTAGTATTGTATAACTATTTCCACAGTTTGTGATTCAAAACATGTATTTGTTGGACCTGGCACTATTACTGTATCAGCTTTAGACCTCTAGTTAGGTCACGGTGTACATGAAATTACAGTGAGCAACAGTAACCAATGCACAGTTGTGTTCATCAAGTAGCAAATGCCATTTAATTGCTGCCTAGCTTTGGAAAGAAGTTCTTGGAAGTCCCGTGTCTTGGGATTTTGACTCTGTTTACATGCTCATCGTCTTAGCTCTTTGCTCCTCTTAGGTTTGAGATCAACTCCTTGATCTCATTTGTCCTCATATTACATGCCATACAAAATATCTGTATTGGTGTTATTTGAGTAGAAAGAACATAACCAGTTATTTCAGTTTTATAAGCAATGTTTTATCAGTTCTCTTATTCCCAGAATTTTTCCCGAATGTTCTTTTGTAACTAATTCTGTGGAGTCGGTATCATCTGTTTTTCAGAATACCGGCGTCTTGTTTACTGATTTTTATTCTTTTATAGACGTAGCTGAACTGAATGACTCACAGCAGCGTTGAAAATCATCACATGCTTTTATCATCAGCATGCATCCCACACAGAACGCATATGTACCTCCCATGTACGTTACATCGGTCTTCACTGAGCTAAAACTTAGAGCTAACACCCGACTGGCGTGTTCTTTCCTTTCCCAAGGTAGCTGGTTACAAAGCAGCTGAGTATTAGGTACTTCTAGATAACCAGTGGAACTGAGCGGGGAGTAGGACGAGAGCCCCGAAGCCCCTGCTCTTTGCTGGGGCTGTGGTCCGTGACTCGACCCGGATCCCCGGACAGCCTCCCTCCACGCACAGCCCTGATGCGCTGTGGCCAGCAGATCTGCGAGGGGTTCTCTGGGACCTCTGCCCGGACCGGTCGCCGGCAGTAAGGACGATCCAGTGAATCAGCTTCCCTCTTGCTCTGACACAGCCTGGATCCGCTGCCCTCCAGGGCGTAGTGCAGGGCTCATCTGCGCACTCGGGCTTCTCTGAAGGGAGGCAGGCTGTGTTTTGTCTTGGGGTTTTTCAGAACCGCAATTTGCATAACCTTGGTATTACCAAAAATCTGCGTTTCTTCTTATAGATTCTCAGAGTTGTGGGTGTGATTGCATTTACAGCAGATAGAAATTAATGGCAGGCTGACCCATTTCATAATGTTTATTTTAACCTTCTGCCCAGAAATGGTAATAGTTTTACATGAGGAAAACTGCTGAGCCCTGTCATAGAATGTGTTTAAATTACTCAATTTGAAATCTGTAAGATGCCCTTTGATACAGCCCAGAGGGGTTAGGAGAAAATCTGCTAAACAGTCGAATAGTGGCTTTGTCTTAAGTGCCCCGAGAAATATCCTACAACTGAACATCTCACACTTACTCGTGTTTCATGCAAGTTACCTCGTGTGCACTTTGTATTCTCGCTGTTGCTCCTTCATTATTGAAGTCTAACATAATGCCAGTGTTTCTAGGTGCTTGTATGTGCATGCCTGCGTATAGGTGTAGATACCGTTTGTGTGCAAGGCAGTGCTGTTACACTCAGAAGGAATTGCCCAACAGCATGCCTTTGGAAATGATGGGGTTTTAGACTTGCGCTTGCTTTAGTTTTAATGCAGTTTCAATAGCTTGTATTTCTTTCTGTCTTTCAAAACCCATCTGAATTCCTTTTATTCTTAGGTCTTTGCACCTTGAGAAAGGTGCATGTGTCGTCTTGTTTTCACTTAGGGTTTCTTAGGATGCTTGTGACGGTACATTATGTAATTCTCTCACAGGGCTAAGGAAGGGAGAACTGAAAAATGATAGCAGCTTTGGATGAATTGGTGTAGTTTTATAACCAAATCTTTATCTTAACTTATACTGGGATTCAATTTTGTCTGTGTCTTTGTTTAGACGATAGTATTGAATAGGTGATGTCTTAGAAAAGGGGACACATCATGAGCAAAAAATAAATAGCTGGCATCGCTATAGAGAGAATGTGTAGTCATTGCATTTGAAACATACTATTTTGCCTATCTTTTTCTCCTCAAAAGTTTACATGGAAAAGTATAAATCTGTCTTACATTCTTCGGAATTAATCTGTTCTTCTGGATCTTTTACCACCCAAAACTGTAATCCTGCAGTATTCACAGTAACCAGCTATAAAAGCACATGTAAAGAGGATTGTTGGGTCAGGTGAGGTACTAAATAAAAGGAGGAGTTCCTGTCTTGATGCAGGGTGTCATTATAGAAATAGAAAAAATAAAAGGAAAAGAATATATAAATACATAATGTTTGTCATTCTGATTCCAAGTTAAGTGCTTTCCAAGATTTTCCTTTGGTTGTTGACATGTCTTTCCATTTATGGTTAGAAACCTTATTATTACAATAGGAAGGTAATGAAATGCAATTGCAGTACTAGGCATCGCTTTAAGAACGTAAAAGGGTGCAAGAAGTATAAAGTCACTTTGAAAACTGAGAAATTGCAGAAAGTTGATGCTACTGGTGCGCAAATATGTATTAAATTTAGGTGGACTACTCAGAAGTACTGAAAGAATTAGAGAAATCTCGTCTCCAGTATAGTATACCATCATGTCTCTTTATACAGATTAAATACTTCGGGACTGCCAGACTTTGAGAACTTTGTCACACAGTGACTGAACTTAATTTTTATGTCGGGTTTGTGCCGAACTGTTGTGCTGGCTGTTGGTAACAGAGCTTATTGATCGGTCCTTGGTAAAGACAATCTTCCTTTATAACACTGGGATTTAATATGTCACGCTCCCCTCATGCTGCAGTTCTCGGCCGGTGTTTGTGTGTGGTGACCAAGGCAATGGCCCCGTATGGGTTCACTGGAGAAAAAACGAACATAATTTTGCTGTGAGATAGATCACGTACTAGCTTATCATCTGCCTCTACAACCCCCACTGCTCTTGAATAAGGTGTGGAAAAACTTAGATTTAGAACTTTTAGATATCTAGACTTTTAACTAATTTTTATCATTTTATTTCTCAGGCAGAGAATGAATCTACCATGTATGTATGAACAATGCAAACATATGCTTATGGTTGCCCGAGAGCTATCACGGCTTCAAGTCTCATATGAAGAGTATCTCTGCATGAAAACATTGCTTCTCCTCTCTACAAGTAGGTGAATAGTTAAATACCTATGTGAGCAATGTAAGTTTAACTTGCCAGTATTAGGAGCGTGCGTGTGTGGTTTAAAATTGTGTTAGACATCTGAGAGCAAATAAAAGTCAAAATGTGCTTCTTGGCACCTGACTATATAGGGTTAGTGAAGGAAGTTCAGCTTTTAGCAGATACAAGACATTCATGCTAAAATATTACAGATTGTGTTCGAAACTTTGCAGCTCTGACAGAGAGACCTAACTCAGAACTGCAATTTAAAATTCTTCAAAAATACATAAATTACAAACTGGCTGAGTAGCTCAGGACCCAAAGAAATGGGCAAAGCTATAACTTCATGCCCCAAAAATACTTAAAACCCAACTAACCAAAAAAATCCCCAAAAACCACCACCATCTGTGAGGAAGTTCTGATCCAGTGAAGCAGTTTCTCCACAAAAAAGTTTTGAAACTCCCCCAGAAGTTAAATTCTTAAATATAAATACAGCTTTTTGCATTTGCATCTAAAAAGTATATGGTGGATTTACGATAGATATCATAAGATAGATTTATATAATATACTACATGATGGTTTTTATGTCTTTCAATAGGATATGCTGTAGTTAAAACAAGTCACAGCTTAGTAAAATTCTGTTGTCTGTACTGCATGAAAGGTCAAAGTACTGTGTCAAAATAGTCCTTTTAGAATATAAAGAAATAAATTAATGTGAGACATTACATAAATAACTTTTATAATGTTATTTTTACCCTGTATTCATACTCACTGGTACCTAGTGACTTTTTTCTTCTCGTGAGCCGTAGGGCTGTAGCCCCCTGAGGAAGCTGAGCTGTAACCCTGGCTCGGTTGCAGTCCAGGGACTCACCATAGTAAAAAGCATGTGTGCGTGCGTGTGTGTGTGTGCTGTGAGTAGGTGTGAGCCGGGCATCTCGCCATGCACCGCTCGGTCCGTCTGAACGGTTAGAGCATGTGTCTGTGTGTCCTGGAGAAATCCCGTCCCCTGGCCATCCCGATGATACCCACCGTCCAGCAGGACTGAGGAAGCTGCATCTGAGGCAACGACTGTAGTTTTCCTGGAGCCTTTGCTGCTTCTGCTTGACAGAAGATTATTTTTGTTTCAGTGTAGCAACAGGTATGCCAATATGCTTTAAAAGCATCAGTAAGAGCAGCAACGCAAGTGAAGATTTTTCAGTGTGGTACTTCTACATGATGAAAAGTAAATATTTTTAAAAGTTTAAAGTTTGTTACACCGAGGTTCCAGCATTCCTTATCTTTAATATTTCCAGCGAGTAATAGCTCTAATTCTTACAAACAAATGAGAACTTGGTAGCTTTGGGCTTTTCGCTAATGAAAGCAGGAGGATTTTGTAACCCCGCGCTGTCCGCACTGTGAAGCCCTGGGTGATGAGTGCGGGCAGGAGAGGTGTCAGCTGCGGGACGCTGCCATGACCAGTTCCTCCCCGGGCCTGTCACCTCGGTGGCCTGGCAAGGACCAGCACAGCCTTGCCTGCCAAGCCCAGAACTGGGACAAGGGCTCTTTTCAGAGGAAACTTTTGGCTCCACGCTGCCGTAGGCTTTGTAGGAACTTGAAACTTCCCTGAAACTGCAGATTTAAAGCAGTTTCTGAAATCTCTCCCAAAAATTCCTCAAGTGTTTTGGATGTGGTGTAGGCCAACTTTCCTTACAGGAACTGGAAATTTCCTTAATTGAATTTCCATGGCAGAAATGGTGAAGAGGCAACACTCGTAGAATCAAGCCCATTCACGAATCAAGTATGGCAAGCACTGGCATTAACCAGCAGAAGGCCTGTTTGTGAAAGACAATATATTTTCACATTTCTTTTTGGGTACATACATTGTGTAAGTGGTAGATTGTGGAACTTCTGAAAATTGAATAGCTGAAATTTGTATAGCTTTTTAATCCATTACTTCACAATTTTAATTTATGTTTGTTGTGTTTCTGTGTAATTTTTCCAAGAGAAGAGGAAGATGATGAGGAAGAAAACAGGAATCCCACACGGGTCTATACACACAGCTCACGCGTAGATGTAGCTCACAGACCTTTTCCATTTAAATTGTTGAAGCAACAGTTGAGATGTTGTCACCTCCTGGGTAGACAAGGCAGACAAGATACTTCACTCCAACGTCTCGCAGATGCTGACAGTGTAGTGAGGGTTGGATTTTTTTAAGGAAGAGAGCGTGCTTTAGTGGCCTCTTTCCTCCTCTCTTGCTTCCAGTTGGTTTGTCTCGGCTCTCTCTCTTCTCTGTCTTCAGCTCTTTCCATGTACTTCACCAAGGTATTCAAAGGCTTCAAATCAAGCATCTGAAGGAGCACTGGAGTCCATATGCTTGATTTGTCCCAATTTGTGTACTAGTCCTTGGCGTTTAGAAGGACCATCCTAGTACGAGAACATAGGCGCAGGGACTTAACGTGGATTTGAGTCTGAATGCGGGCCTCAGTCCCCACGCCTTGGGTTTCTAACCCACAGCTCCTCATCTGTACGGTGCTATCTCGATGTCCCACCCCTATTCCAAGAAGCTCTGCCTGAGACCCGAGTCCTCCGTGGCTTGGGCAGTCACTTTGTTGTCCAGTCCCTCCATTACCTCTTGCTCGGACACGTTATTTGATCCATGTCAGGAGGCTTGGAACTAGATGATCTTTCAAGATCCTTTCTGAGCCAAGGCATCCTGTGATCCTACCCTTGCTCCTCCCTGAACACACAGAATTTTTCTGGAACCTTTCCAATGTCACGTTTTCCCCAGACACTGAGAACATGGGAGCTGCAGCCCTGGTGGTTCTTCATCAGGGTGCTTCCAGGGCTTAGTGCTGTTGCCTCCCTGGTCCAGTTCCCTTCCCTCTGTGTCTGGTAGGGTTACCTTTGGGTTGGTTTGGTTTTATTTTGCCAGCAGTCCTGTGCTATTTGCTCAGTTACTCATCCGACTCAGTTTCTGCTCTCTGTCCTTGTCTCTCAGCTGTCATTTCATTAAGTCCGAGTCCTTTTTGTTTTGGTCATTTTTGTGTAATAATGTGAGAGAACTTAAATAATGGCACAGTTCATAGATGTATAATGTCTTAAAGGTTCATATCAATGTTACAGTTCCTAAGGAAGGCCTGAAGAGTCAATCTCTGTTTGAAGAAATTCGTATGACATACATTAAAGAGCTGGGGAAGGCCATAGTGAAAAGAGAAGGGAACTCAAGCCAGAACTGGCAGCGATTTTATCAACTGACTAAACTGTTGGACTCTATGCATGATGTAAGTTCTTAAATGAATACTGTAGACGTTCCAGAGAAATAAGTTTGGGGATATGACAGCAATCTCCTCTATCCTTTATTTAAAGGGATAAATATCGGGGGCGGGGGGGGGCAGGAGGTAGTCATGCTTCCCTGCTGTCTAACTAAAGGCTAATTGAAAGGGGTGAACATGGTGCTTTCAGACTGCTTTTGCAGTGGACTCCATCGCAATTAATTTTATAATTAATTTTCGGTCTCTTTAGTTTTTAAAAATGATGTTGCTTTAAAATGGAGGAGCTCGGAAATTATAAATGATTTTGCAGTAGTAGCAGAAGCGTGAAGTTTAAAAACAGTATTATCTCAGAGACAAACTATTCAAGAATCTATGGTATTGTTTGAAATTGTGTTAAAATACTAAAAATATGATGCAGTATTAGTAGCAGTCTAATTTTGCAAGGAATTTCAGAATTCAGACTGTCTCCTTTCACGGTATGTACTCCAAATTGTGCATATAGTACAAAGTAGTCCAAGTACTGTTTAAGCTGGATAAGGTGAGGGAAACTTTGAGACCTCAAAATTACTTCTTTTTTTCTTGTTACTGTACCAAGCACCTGGAAAGATTTTACTAAGCTTATCCCTGTGTATGTTATTTGTATGCTAGAATGGGAATTGATCCAAAATCTCTTCAGTAATTGTAAAGACCTTGCACAATCTGTTCAACTACTAAATGGCATTCTAATATAAACCGAGACTTACTAATTAAAAGGAGGGTAACTGTGCACATCTGCCCTGCGTCGCAAGTATTGCCTGTGCAGGGTGCGGGGCGTGCGTCGGGTCGAGAGCTGGCCTGTCGGAAGAAGGAAGGATGTAGGTTAGTAGTTCTGCCGTATGTATCCGTGTGAAAGTAATTCTTTGCTTTATCACTTGTAGGTGGTTGAAAATCTTCTGAGCTTTTGCTTCCAGACATTTTTGGATAAATCCATGAGTATTGAGTTCCCAGAAATGTTGGCAGAAATCATCAGCAATCAGATACCAAAATATTCAAATGGAAATATCAAGAAGCTCTTATTTCATCAAAAGTGACTGCCTTAATACAAAAGGGTTGCCTTAAGAAAACGTCAAATGATAGCTTTTTTTTTTGTAAAGAAAAAACCTACAGAACTTGTTAATTTTGTCCTTGCAGCGGTGTTTCTTTTGTAATTATGCACTACATGTGGTTTACAGAGGGCCAAGATTTAGGCTATGGAAGCAGCGGATTTCTTACGTTTGGTAAATAGTTGGGGAGAAAGGAAAGGAAAATAAATCTTATTTGTCAGAAATTATATCTCTCCCCTTGTGCAACATCCATGGATGCATCAAAACCACCGGTGACAAGATCTGAAGCTGTGTTACGAACATTCTGCTAATTAATTTCTGCAGTTGGCTGGACACAATTTTCTAGGCTTTTTTTTTTTTTTTAGTGTTCTGGATTTTTTTTTTTTTTAAAGTTAAGGTAGCATTTTGGTTTATGCATGTAACCTGAAGAAAGTTTACAAGTGTATATCAGAAAAGGGAAGTTGTGCCTTTTATAGCTATTACTGTCTGGTTTTAGCAATTTCCTTTAACTTTATATACCGTGAACTAGGCTTGTTCATTTTTTCTTACATAATTTTTTTGTAATACTTCAAGATGCCTATTGTACAGCTGGTTTTTTAAGGTGGGGCAGCTCGTAGCTTTCCTAAATGACCTCTAGACATTAATCCTCGAGTATATTCGCGTGAAAATGGGTTGGGCTTTTCTAACCTAATAGCTTTCAACTGTCAAAGTGACCGTAAAAATTTGGCATTTTTTTAAGGGCCAGGGTGGGTGGGAGAACACTCTCAAATCTAATTTAAATAGATGTGAATGAAACAAATACTTTTGGTATACGTGCAAAAGTGTAGGATATGCAGATTCATAGAAAATTAACCCAGTCGTAACTGGATGCAAATGAGCAGGTTATTTTATATATTGAAAAAAAAAAAAAGAAGCCTGATTTTTTGCATATAATGCAACAGCCATAACTATAAGAGTCATGGGCTGCATTGATGCCAAGAAGATCAGTCCTGACTGCCCATCAGGAAATTTTCAGGAAAATATGCATAGCTTAAGAAAAGTTTACTTCTGTGTGGAGAAACTCACATTTTCTATACGCTTACAAATCTATCATCATACAAGTATATATGGAAAAATACCATTGACTTAAGAGGCAGACTGCAATTATGCCCAGTGGTTTGGTTTTGTTCTGTTTTTCTTGTATCGATCCTAGAAATCTTTTCCTGGGTGAGGTGTTCCCCGCCGCGCAGGCGGTGAAGGCGAGGAGCTGCGCTGGCTGCCACGCTGGATCCCGGCCTCGGAAGCGCTGTGGTTAGAGACCCGTTTTCCCGTCCTCACCTGACGCTGCCTGGTTCAGCCTCTTTCCTGGAGAGCAGGAAAGCTCCGCTACTGATTTCGTGGTCTTCGAGTTGTCTGTCACCCTTTCTGTCCTTGTAAGGCTGCACCCCTTCATACGAAGTTACTAGCGTGCCATAAAGTTACCATAGGTCTTGTGAATTTCTCCTTGTTGCCATCGATAACTATATTTTAAAACGTTTAGAAGCTGTAGTAGCCTTTTCTACGTGCACCTTAACAATTTTCTGTATCTCAAAATTTAAATATTTGCTAAGCCACTCTAAAATCTGATTTTTACTCAAAGTGGCCAAATTATTTGTGTAATAGAAATGAGAAAGATCATCTGATAAAATATAAAACCTAATATATTTTTATATTTAGTTATAGTTTCAAATATGTATAATCGGTATATTCGCTGATCCGAAAAAGAAGGGAAGGGCTACTGCAGCTTTAAAGGCAATTTATTAAATGATTGTAAAATAGCTTGTATAGTGTATAATAAGGATGATTTTTAGATGACAGATTGCTTTATCATGATACATGTAGTTATATTTTTTGTAGGGGTCACAACTATGCTGAATGGTAACCCGTACAAGTTGTGGTTTGTCTGGAGGTGGTACTGAAGGCATCGGTGTTTAGTATCCAAAGAAGTACCCTGTTCAGAAAGGAAAACCTGTGTTCAGTGGATGTTTTTGGGGTTGATTTTATGTTTATCAAATCACTGTGTAAAAATTCAAGTTGGAGCTTGGATGGAATACTCCTATCTGTATGGTTGGTTACCATTCACGATTCACTGCTAAATCAGACCTCCGCTGCAAAAAATGTAAGCTGGACGTGCACCTCTGAACATACGGGGTTAATTTCATATACAGCCTCACGTACCACAGCAAAAACAGCTTGAAAAATTTGGCAATAATACCCATACAGGTACCAGCAATATGTAAATATAGAGCATAGGTTGTTCACAGTACACTAGTACATTTCTATTGTGCAGCAAAAGTTTGTTTCCAAGTGAAATAGGAAACTAAATTTTCATCCTTTCTTAAATCTCTTTTTGAATGTTATACCTATTAAAAAAAGATACTATATTCAGTACTTTGGAGTAAAATATCAACTTTAATAAAAAAAAAAAGTAATCATTCTCTTCTCTTTGATCTGTAAAGAATATGTGCATTTCGTAACTGGTAAGGTAAAAGTTCAGTATTTTAATTCTAACTTTCAGCCCAACTCAATGAAAATATTCATGTGACCCACTGGAGATACAGATAGGAGTTTCATACTGCTTGGTTTCGGGTGGGCTCTTCAGTTAAAAGGAAAACTGTTTTTACCACAGAGAAGGTTTTTTAAAATTGCACCCCCAGATACCTCAATTTGAGCCTGTGTGATTGTGCGGGCGGGCGTGCACGTGTGCAAACGTTTGTGCATTTGTATACACAAAGATACAAAACTTTTTTTTTCTTTTGCCAGCAGAAAAGTAGCTACAGTGAACACGAACAAATTACCACCACCTTGAGAGAACTGATAACGTAGGAGAAGAGAGGCTCTCTACCCCCTTTTTGTCTATATGCCTGTATATTCATTTTTAGTTTATGGATTTAAGGAAAAAAAAAAAACAAGGAAACTGTGATGTTAGAAGAAAGCAATCGTCCTGTACGTGCTGTTCAGTTTTAAACTTCACAATTAAAGTAGGTAGTGCTTTAGTAAGCAGTGAGAAGTCCGTGTTCTGTGTGTCCGTAGTCCTTGTAGCGCAGTGGGTAGTATCTGCACTCTGGATAAAGCAGGGAGAATTCTGACTTTGTCTCTTCAGTGCCTTATCACAAAGTGCATGCATCCGACCGAGGGACGGCCGCGCCGGCAGCTCGGGACGCGCGCGTCCTGCGTGCTGGAACTGGCACACGGCCGGCGCCAGGAATGGCCTTACTGGGGGAAGCTGGGGAGCGGGGATGGAGGGGGAGCGGCCGCCGGACCCCCG